TTTAGGTTTCTGGGTTTATATTTATAATCGGGTTGAAAACGGGTTCAATCGAGTTTACGGTCTGTTAAACATGTGTTAAAATGGTTAATAATGGATTGGTAAACAGTAAACCGAGACAAATCAGGTTCTGTGTGTAAATTGGATTCGAACTTTCATATATTTAGAGATTAAACTTTCAATCCGTGTGGAAATATGTAGTTAAGTTTCATTCCATGGAGAAATAGACTGATGCTGAAACTTCGTGTGGATCTGGCTCGATATAATATTTATTGGAGGGGGGGAATAGATCGTCTATCCGACAATATAGTAGTAATATTTAGGAGTGGAAGATAAGGCTGAAGTTTTGTGGTACTTAGTTTATACATAATCAACTAAAAGCATGTCCAATAACTTTCCAGTATTAAAAAAATATGGATCTGTTTGAAATAAAGTAGGTTAATTTTAACCTAATTATTAACAACAAATAATTAAGGGGATACACTTTAATATTATTTTCAAATAAAAGGATTTTAGCCAAAGAGAAGCACTAAACAAGGAGAAGACAAACCAAAACATGCCTTTATACCATTCAATTATTTAGTTATATTTATGGACCTTATGGTCTCTCTATCTTTTTGGTGTGGATTTGCATTATATGTCTCCTCACTTCATATTTAATTATATATCATCAGCCAAAAGTTAGAAAGACACCATAGTAGTTGGAAATTCTTAAATATTAAATTAGATTCAATTTATCTCACACAAAAAAAAAAACATCATACACCATGCCTATACTTGATCTTGAAGTGACAAAAAGAAGCTCATAATAACACCAATGTGAGAGTGTAATTGAATAATCTTCAAGTGGAAAATAAAATAATGCAGCAAATGCTGCAACTTTACTCAAAGACCTATTTCCTATTTTAAATATATTTCCTAGTCTTTTCTCTTTTTAATTATAACCATGAAAAGGATGTGAAGATAAATGATTAACGAATACAAGTATGTATTATAAAAGGGTTACATGATTGAAACCCTAATGTTGAATTTGAGCTTTTTGGAAAGGGGACATGAACTTAACTTCTGTAGTGAGCAACTACACACACTAAGGTACAACTACTATGCATCACTGAGCATATGCATGCTTATAAATATGTATATATATTGTATAGTTTATCTTTAACAATTAAATTGTGCTGTAGAATATCTGTTCAATTCAAATGGATATTTTACGTCAAAAATATTGGATTTTTTTGAAATACCATATTAATAAAAGATAAAAAATACTAAATACTGTATATGTTATATCTCAGTTATTATTTTTGACAGATACACTGTTATAACTTATAACTAAAAATGATAACTTCATATAGCTATACATTTGGTAATATCATATAAATTTGCATAGTAGCTTACAAATTATCAATATGGACTCGTCGTTAGAACATGATGAACAATGCTCAAAAACTCTATGTCCTTACAAGCTTGAAAACATTGGTTCTCTCGTGACTTTGTAGAACTCGTTGTCGTTGAGGGAAGCATGACCAGATCTTAAAGATCGAATGCTACATATAGGGATAGCGAAAAAATTGACAATTTGTATGTTCTTCTGATCCTGGCCCAATAAAACATGGGCTAAAGGCCCGGTTAACAAAATAATAAGGATTTGTTTTTTACCCAGCAAATGACGCGGTTTAAACGACTAAGACCAAATTAAAATGATATCTCAGACTAAGGTGCATGGAATTAGAAACGAGTACGCAGAAGTGAAAGCGTTTAGAAGCATAGAAGCAAATCTTCAAAAATAATTAGAAAGCGGGTACGCGAGCGGGTACACGTTG